CGTGCGCCTGTAGTTTCGGGTACTTGGAACGCTGAGGCAGAAGGATCGCCGGAGCCCAGCAGGTCGAGGCTGCAGTGGCCGGGAGCGGCCACTGCACTCTAGTCTGGGTGACAGAGTGAGACTCCAACTCAAAAAAAAAAAAAAAAAAGATTAAAAATAAATAAATAAATAAATAAATTAGCCCAGGCGTTGTGGTGCATGCCTGTGGTTTCAGCTACTTAGAAGGCTGAGGCAGAAGGATTTCCTGAACCCAGCAGGTCGAGACTGTAGTGGCCATGAGTGTGCCACAGCACTTCAGCCTGGGTGACAGAGCGAGACTCCTACTCAAAGAAAAAAAAAAAAAAAAGACACCTGCAAAAATGTCCTAGAATGCCATTCTTCCTGTTTTTTTTTCAGAGCATTCTGGAATATGTTACTTACGTCAATATGCAATGGGTTTATTAACGTTCTTTCTAAATGGATTACAAAATATTTTTAAGTTTCTCAGTTTCACAACACCCAATTATTCTCCAAGTTCCTCAGTTTCACAATATCCATGCAGACAGATATTCCCCACAGAAACAAAAGCTCTTTAGGTGCCATTATAATTTTCAGAAACATAAAGGGGGTCCCGTAAAAGTTTGAGAACTACTGTGCTAGTCAATGGCACACCGACCCAAAGTTTCAGACTTCAGGTCTTGTGTGGAGGTGGAACATTTACCTGCAGATTGGAGAGCTGTGTGAAGGCTTTCTCACAGCCTGGGTGTGCACATTTGTACGGCCTATCACCGGTGTGGATTCTGCACAGGATGGGAACAGAAGACAGAAAAAGGACGTCAGCAGGACCGCATAGGGACGGACTCCTCCAGAAACTCTCTCTAGACCAGTCCTGTCCTCTTGAGGAAGCCGCCAGAGGGCCTCCCAGAGGCGCCCGCCCTGGTTCCTCTGACACGGATCATGTTGGGGTGTCTTCGTTCCGGTCACTGCCTGCACCGCACAGCTCAGGCTGAGCTACCTCTCTGCAGGGGGAAGAGAGCACTGAGGCTTCAGCACCTGAGAGACAAGCAGCCCACAGTTTGGCATGCAAGTCGGCTCCTGCAGTAACTGTCCGCATGAACATTCAGAAACACAAGGTCAATACAACAACAAGGAAAAAGAAAAGCACAGTACTTCTTCCTGCCTCACCTACAGCCAGAAACAATCCCCTCAGACTTGAAAGTCACTTCCAGAGAAAGTTAGGGCCCCAAAGAAAAGCAGAGTTAAACAGACTGCAGAGGGCAGCAGCGCCAGTAATGGAAACTCTCAGGGGCTTTTCCCAGTCCAGCCCCCAATGGCAGGAAATGACTACTTCACACCGGTTTGACCTCCCTCCCCGACACTACCGAGCCCTCTACTAAGGCGAGCCAAGGACTTGTGGGTACGTTGATGCCTGCTCCTCATCAGGGACGTCAGAGCCATCTCAACGACCAGATGCTTTTTGGGACCTCTGGAAAAAACTTCGACATCACGGGCCATTCCTCTTCTGTGCAGAAAGTCTGCCTCCTCTTCTCAAGGCAAGATATCTGATCATTTTCAAGGTGGGATCGTCACTCCACAAGCAGTTGGGTGGGATGGCCTACGGTCTGAGTTTGGACTCCAGTTCAATTTGAGAAACCACTGAAGGAGACCATCACTCTTCTAGCTGGCAAGCTCATTTCCTCCCAGTCACTTCATCTCCTGGAAGAACACTGGACGTCCTTATGAAGCCTGAGCTTTTCCATTCTCCATGTGCCGGTTCTCGGTGAACATCAGTACTTGTTTTGTTTTGTTCTCTACTCTTGGCATCCCTTGGAACCTTGCTTGTTGCTGCAGGTGTCAGCAGGCTGGTGTCCAGCTGATGTCTGATTATATCTCCTGTTCACAGTTGGTGCCCTAAGGGCTAAAGGCATGGTCTTCTCCAAGCAAATGCCTCTGCTGTGGCACCAAGCAGAAAGTCTTGCAAGATGTGTGCACAAGTATCTTCAAGGAGGAAAGCGAGACACAGGAAGGCCGTCTCTGCTCCCAGGGGCAGGGGAGCACCACCGTCACTGTCTCCCAGACACAGCTCTTGCCCCAAAAGGGCTCTCTCTTAGTGTCCACTTGTATGTCCACTGTTGCTCTTGGTCTTCTTTCTCCCGGTGCCAGCTGTGCTCTCCTCCAGCCAGGCGCCTCCTCCGGCCACGTCTCTCCCCCGCCCCCCGCATGCGGGTTGTTGTGTGTGTCCGGGGCGGGGGTGGGGAGGGCATGCCAGCGGGGCGGGGTCAGTAGCCCGCCAGTCTCCCTTACCGTGTGTGCTGCTGGAGGTGGGAGAGCTGGCGGAAGGCCTTCTGGCAGTAGGAGCAGTTGTAGGGCTTGGCCCCCGAGTGGATACGGAGGTGCTGGGCCAGGTAGGAGGTGTTGGCGAAGGTCTTGGAGCAGTGCGGGCACTTGTGTGGCTTGACGGTCTCCGTGTGCATCTTGGAATGGATCCTGCCGGAGAGGAGAGGAGGGGGGGGAGGAGGAAGCAGTTCGACACCAGGGCGCTGCTCTCTGCCGGGTGAAATGATGTTGCTTGACGGATGCGCGCACCCCTCCTCCCTCCTCCCAAACATGCTCCAGCCTGGAGAGGCTGATGAAGAGGAAACCCAGGTCTAGGTTGTTGTTGATCTCAAGTCGGTGGCTAGAATGGCAGTGAGATGATGAAGAGCTGCCAACCCATGGCTCCTGGGACCTGAAAGCAGTCAGTGTCGTCAACCCTCCGCTTTCTCCTAAAGTGACGCACTCACCACAGAGACCCTGCTTCCAAACAGTAATCTGAACAAAGACCAATACCGCCTGTTCCCCATGGACCTGAAGTTGAATGCACACCTTGGCTCTGAACGGAAGCATATAGCATAAGCATGGCCTGCTCTGCAGAAGATTTCCAAACAAAGACACAGAGAGAAACCACATACATTGTTCCAGACTTTGGATTGGAGACCACGATTGTTAAGGCCCCCCACACAGCGAGGCTACAGAATTCATTTCTCAACTGAAACAGGAGAGTCGAGGCTACCGAGGGCAGTAGTGAGAGGGAAGAAAGCACACATGTGGAGAGAGGAGTCGGTGCAGGCTGTGGCCTTGGGGTTCACGGCCAGGCAGTGGGTAAACTGAGAGCAGCCTTACCGGGTGTGCTGCTGGAGGTGGGAGAGCTGGCGGAAGGATTTCTCACAGAAGTTACAACTGTAGGGCTTGGCCCCCGAGTGGATCCGGATGTGCTGGGCCAGGTAAGAGCTGTTGGCGAAGGTCTTGGAGCAGTGCGGGCACTTGTGGGGCTTGGTCTCGGTGTGTGACTTAGAGTGGATCTGCATCTCCGACTTTGAGTAGAACGTCAGGGAGCACATCCGGCACCTGGGCCAAGCGAGGGCAGCGGTTAGAACCCTTCCCACCATGAAGGCGTGGCTGAGCCCTCCCCTTCCGAGAGAAGCCCACCTATCTCATCTCTCCCGTTCCAACTCGAGAGCAGGAGCTCTGGCTTGTTCATCTTTATGGCCTAAGCTTCTATCACAGTGCCCAGCACATCATACACATTCAATACATGTTTGCTGAATGCCTAGACTCCCTAGTTGTTCAAAACCAATTCAACCAGGTAAGGCAGAAAAGTACAGGCTCTGGCTGGATGTGGATTTCAGTGGGCCAGGAATACCAGTTAACTTCTGTTTTCCTTCTGCCTATACTTGACTTCAAACTTTTACAGTCCATTCCTCGGTATTCCTCAAGTCCCCCCAGATGACAGTAAGGAACAGCTAACTGGGATTGTCTCCTCTTCTCACAACAATTTTCTTCCCACAGATTTCCTCTTACTTTCTTTTTGGCAGTGATGCCTAGAGGGATGGGGGGGAAGCACCAGCATTGCTTGGAGGGGGTTTTCCAAGCAGTGTATGTCTGGCTGTACCCTGTAGCTGATGCTCCGCCCATCACCCCCACAACAGCCTTTGGCAACCAAGTGAAGCCACTCTCACAATGAGCCAAGGTGGCCGCTGGTTATGGGTGGTATCCCTCAAGTATTCGGCAGAAAAAGAGCTGTGAAACACTTGTCTTCCGTGCTGACCCTTTCCTCTGTCCTAGCACGTGGAGCCAGTGCCAACACCGGGCTGATGTCAAAAGCATCTGAACATGCTTTCACTCACCACCTGAGCTGGTAACCCTTCCCGCTCTGATACTGCCCAACAGTATCGAAGGAAGCCTCTGCCCAGGTTAAACCACAACTCTCCAGACTTTACCAGGTAAAAGCCGTCTACAGGTGAAACGAAACCAGTCATTTTCGTCAACAACTCACAGTGTGCAAGGTGACCTAGTAGAAAGGGCCATGCCAGGTAACTCTGGCCAGTCCCTCTTCTGTGGGCTACCCCTGACTTATCGTTATAGAGGGGCTTGGGTGGTGTGAGGGGACAATTTCTGCACTTTTTCATCGCAGGCGAATTTTTTAAATAACTGAGATCAAGACTAAAAGGAAATCTGACTACCAGTCTATGGCTCCCTGGCTGTATCTGAGATGCCCAATCATTGCATGAGAGGAAAGGATCGTCTGCTGATAGTATCATCTAAAGGACACAGCCCATGGGAGGCTGGACATCTGGGTTCCACTCACAGCTCGGTTATGGGCTTGTTTCTTAATCTAGACCTCAATTTTCTGGTCTATAAAATGGAGAGAAAAAAGCTTGCCCCAAGGAGCACCAGCAAACACCCAGAACAGTCAAAGGTAAGCCAAGTGTTCTCTAGTTATAAAACTGCATTAATGGCTAGAGCATCAGTGCTGATGCATGAGCTTGTACTAATCCACATTTCACTAAGACTGAGGTTGGAAGCTGGACACACTACCACTCGGAGGGCCACTCAGCTAAGATTGCTCAGACAGGTAGAATAACATGTTCACTCTAACTCAAATAAAACCTCATTTGTTTGTATGTGCAGGCATTCAACCCACAGTTCTGCCTGCAACACGAAAGTTAACTATAAAAAAGAAAGTAACCCCTCATCAAAGTTTCCAAAACTTAGCTCACTTCTCATGGACAGGCAATGGAATGGGCGGGCTCAGAAGACACGAGGTCGAGTCACAATAACCCTGGCGGCCGCAGCTGCCATTTGCTGCCGTGCTGACGGTGCAAGGCCCTGGGCTCAGCACCTCGGCCGCTTGGGGTCCACCCCTCAGGACAACCTGGCAGTCTCATCCCGTTTTACAGAGAGGAACACCAAGACTCAGACGCAATATAACTTGATGATGCTGACCTACTTTAAGAGTCTTGGCACAAGCCGGGCTCGGTGGCTTAGCCTGTCATCCCGCGCCTTTGGGAGGCTGAGGTGAGTGGATTGCCTGAGCCCGCGGG